GTTGTTGACATCGATGGTTTTGAACTTTTTCTTGCTACACTGTTTGCTAAAACAGAGATGGGACATTAAAAAATATTTTAATTATGGCTTAATAATAATTCTTCTTTGGCCTTGGATTTCCATTTAAAAAGACGCTAAAATTAAAAGCGAATTAATTAGTATATAGTATACTGTTAACAAATATCTCATTTATTACAAAAAAAGTTACCTTTTGTTTTCGTATCAGGTTTCGAGGTTACCGTAACTGTTTTTTCTGTGTATATTTTCGTTGCTGGAAGGTCTGAAATAGCGAATAAGAGGTTTGGTTTTGTATCTCAAAGAAAGGGGTACTTTCACAGTCGCTAGCAATTAAAGAAAATTACTCTAATTAATTGTACAATCACAATTGTAAATACACAAACATAAAGAAATCTATTTGCTTTATAATAAAAGTAATTTAGATACATTTATGCTTGCTACCAATACCGTATTAATCAATAGTTCACCTTCGTACCTATTTCAGTAATGTTAAGGTAACCCACTTTCCAACCCACTTCATTTGTTGCGTTACACTTGTACATTCCATATAAACCAGTGTTGCTGTCTGGTATTTTGAGAACCATTCTGCTGCCGCCTGTTATTTCTGTGACACCAGATTCAACTTGCGTTCCATCAGCATAATACCACTTGATTAAGGGGCGTGGGTGTCCACTTGCTTGGCAAAGTAGGACGATAATCTTTTCGTTGACAGTCCAGTTTAGAAACGTTATATTAGGTTTGTCTACGAAAAAGGAAATAACGAATGGAAAAAACAAATATTAAAAAAATATATATAAGTTTTGAAAAGCTATTTGTTCCATAGTTCAGCTGCAGGAATTTAAATCAATTATGGTAACAAGGGCAGAATTGAAACAAATATTATATTATTCGACAATTAAATACGTTGAATACTTACACCATACAGTGACTTGTGTTTGAGTTTTCACGGGATACTCATTTGGGTTGTTTGTTGCCTGGCACTGATACGTCCCATTTTGATGCCTTGTGATGTTCCGGATAACGAGGTTAGCGAAACCTACTCCTTGGCTTTTAATTTCCTTGGCTTGGTTTTTCAGTAACACCCAAGTGATGTTGGGAGTTGGATTTCCAATTGCAGAACAACTGATACCCAGATCTTCTCTCTCAATCACTATATTGTTCGCTTGAAATTGGCTGGTGAACTGTGGCCGCGCTGTTATGAACATATTATACATATACGAGTGTATGTAGAGTAACTCTATTTATATCTATTTTCTATTCATAGTCCATTTATGATATAAGTAGCGGTGATCTTCAATGAAACACTTATAAGTTTAATTTGAATGCTAATGTATTATTAATTGATAATCAAACAATAACGTTATATGAAGTTCCGACTGCGCCTTAATTTGTTACCTTATTTGCCTATTTGCTTTTGATCTGATTCACTTGCTTCGACTTCTTTCCAATCCATGTATGCTTACAATAAGAGTAAAGTGGATACTGTCTGATTGGTGGCAGAATAACTTAGCCGTAAGTAGCAAACATATTAACAAAGGTTGCCTCTGTAAAGGTTCTTGCGTAGAAAACGATGGCAGTATTTAGTTGTTGTTTTTGTTTTCCCTTTTTTTTTTTTTTTTTTTTTTTTTTGTGTTTTTTTTTTTTTTTTTTTATCCGTATTGCATGGCGCTCGTTTTCAAATGATGTCAGCTCTTTTATTTGGTTTCACACTGACATTTTATTTTCAAACCAAATCTACTGAGTAAAACACCATGTTGTTCTCAAAATTTTAAAATATTCAAGCAAGTTGTTTTTTAAGGTTTGTAAAGTATATTAGGCTAAAATACTTACTTGTAACAAGAAGCTGAATTTTACTTCCTATTGGCGGTAAAGTCTTCAATAATAAATTCATCCAGTATATTCCACTATCAGCAGTAGTGACATTAGAGATAACCAGGGTGGCATTTGATTCTCTACTGACTCGAGTGGTAGGGTATAAAAGTCTAGCAGGACACGTGTCATTACTAATTGTCCATCTCCAATCTCTTAAGGCATGATCATATCCAATTAAAAGAGGTGTTTCATTAGCATAGTAATGGCTCCATGTAGGGGAAATTAACTGAAATTCTTCCTTCCTGTTGTCTACGGTGTAGTCCCAAACCAACCTGGCTGTCCCACCACTGACAACGTACAGAGGATTCGGTGGAACTTGGATAATTCGGACTTTACCTGATAATATATAGATCAATGTGATTTCATCAGTGCTTCTTAAAATTGGTAATAAAATACAATGAATGAAAATCTAACAAAATGACAGAAAACGAAATCAAATTACCTTGGACATGATTTCCAATTACTGCTACAAGAATCAAATAATTAAAAAGTTGATCTTGTATCAATGACACCATCTTCAGAAAGATCTTGAAAACCATAACATAGAAAGTGGTGATGGCAAACACCATAAAGCTATAAACAATTAAATTTCAAAATGCATTTTTTTTTTTCATTTCCAGGAAAAAAACCTTTCAAATCTTGCAACAAACTATTTATTGGAAATTTCAAGTCTCTCATTTTTGTCTTCAGTGTTCACTGGTTGTCCATGACAAGCATACATGGAACATTTTTGGCCCATGGTTTTGGACTCGGTTATTCTTCTCTATATTTTTGACTTTTTAGCCAAATTTTATTAACATTTCATGTGAAATAATAATATAATGCACGAAGCCATAGTTTAAATAACACAGAACTTGGGAAAGGACATTATAGAAAACGACTTATATACATGCGTCAAACAACCAAAAATAGATCATTTTAATTTCATTATTTGAAAAAAATGCTTTCTTAACGTTTTTTTAGTTTCATTCTCAACACTTTCGAAATGTTATCTGCCCATAACTCGCATGATATCTGTACAAATATAGCCCTGTGATAACGCAGCAGGYGTACTTTATCACACCAATTCAATATATTTATTGTAATCAATTTAAAAAAATCCAAGATTGATCATCAAAATACCTACGAGACGTGGTTCCTTCTAAGGCAATAAGCCAGTCAGCGCGATGTGAGCATGCATGGCTTACTAGCTTTTACGCCATAGGGGAAAAAATGTCACTATGTTTTTCTATGCAAAGAAAATCAAATAATATGTGGTACAAGTCTTCAATATTTTAATACTGAATATGAAATAAAACTGAATGAAAATATTTGATGGCTAAAATATATATTTTTTGAAAACGTTTGAGGCTCAAAAATAAGTTAATACAAATCATAAGGTACTCCTCCCTGCTATAATATTTGGTCACATTGGCAATTTGATGCGGGTCAGTTTTACTTTGCCCAGCAAGTCTGCTAGCCATCTTTTTTTTTTACGGTGACTCGTTCTTTCGAAGTTTCTTAATTGATATCATTCATTTCAAGTCTTCATACTTAGCTTTCGCCTCTTCTAGAAGTGCAATTGGAGCAATTCGTACTGCACTGACCTGTCTGTGATGTTCTTTGGAAACCGCATTTTTGGACTTGGTTTTGGTTAAGGGACGTGTTGATTTTTAGTTTGCGCTTGCAGAACCGATTCAAACACGGCAGACTGTGATGAGGGACTGGAATGACTTGGGGTTTTAAATTCAAGCTTGTTTGGATGGCTTTGAGCATTATTTGAAGATGATATGCAAAACCGTTTTTTATCCCGCTCGTGAATATTATAAGGCCTATTGACTTTTTACTATTTGACCCGTGAATATACCATCACATGTAAGGCATTTGCATGTAACATTGTCACCCTTTATTTTCCAGTTGTGAATAGCTTAATTGCGAAATTTACATAATTCTTTAAGTCATTTCGCAGAATGTGCGGCTTTCTTGCAGTCTGTTTATATTTTTGCGCATTGCATAAATGCACAGGTTCGATGCTAACAAATGTTGAGCATTGTCATGCAGACCTGTAAAGCTCTCATTCTATTTACAATACCATTGTACTTACTACTTCTTTATATACACATTGACGATGGTGCGAGCAACGTCATAATGTAGTTGTTATTTAAAGGGCACTTGTATAAATGGGCATAAATGTACAGGTTCGATTCTAACAAATGTTGAGCATTGTCATGCAGGCCTGTAAAGCTCTCATTCTATTTACAGTACCATTGTACTTATTACCTCTTTACATATACATTTACGATGGTGCGAGCAACGTCATAATGTAGTTGTTATTTAAAGGGCACTTGTATTAAAATCAATGAAAATTAGAAATGGCTTTGAACTTGGTCAAACTTATCAACATGGTCAAGATAGTAGCCAAGCGACATGTTTCCTTTACAATCATAGAATGGCGGAAAAAATTATCAAGTTTATTCAGCATCTAAGTTGTGAGTAAGGCCTAGGACAAACGTCGAACTTTCTAGCACCGAACTTAGTTACATCAAAGAATGCCGCCTCGTTATCACCTGATATCCATTGTTTTGAATGAGTTCGGTGCATGGAAAGTTCGACGACGTTGTCCTAGGCCTAAATGACGTCATTCACTTAACCATATTGTTCTTTTCATTTTTAACTCAAAATATCTCAATAGCAAGTGTCTCCCAGACAAATATTTTCACTAATCTGATTTCATAATTATGACTAAGGCATATTCTCTTCAAATACTTCAGTTATTCGGACTTTCAAAAATCGGGGCGTTTTCATCCAAGTGCCCTTTTAACCATATCAATTGTCCTATTAGGACTAAAAACATCGTAAACAAGAGATGAGGCGTTATGGATGTTGCTTCCGATGAAGGTGGACGAGGAGCTGTTAAATATAATAACATTTACGAAATGAAATATTAATAAATAAAGAAACACATAACGTAACGAACTTAGAAAAATAATATAATGCATATCATTTATTTGAGAGTGGACAACAAATTTGTTGTTATTGTTGTTAGTATTGTTGCTGTTATAAAGTTGTATATGGCGCGTTTAATCAACTTACTTTGCGAGCTTGCGTTCTTTGTGTTATTCGTATAGTCGCTTGAAACTGTGACGATTTCTTCAGGCAAGGTTGGTTTTGACACGAAAGCTGTGAAATTGTCTAATTGAAAATATATATGTATAACAATTAAAGATGAAAGTCAGTCGAAGAAAGAAGAAGATGATGATAAAAACAGGGGGGGGGGAGAGTAAAACAAAACAAGGTTTGCATAATCTCAAAATGCATTTGATCTATAAATGAATGGAAAACATATCCCGCGTGATTCATCGTTTAGAAAAAGGACATTACTGTAGGTTAATGACATTTTATTTCTTTCGTTTCTGGATTTTACCGGGAAAATTATTGAGTAATACATATTAGTGGATTTATCTTGCGAAAGAACCCAATTAATATAAAGTTTTTTTCAAAATGGCAATGTGATATCGTTAATTCAGTGCATAAGTTATTTCAGTATTAAACAACATTCTCCCAAATGACATTGTTTTTTGCGTGACCAACAGATCTATGTCCATACTTGGTAAGCTTTCCCTAATCTGGAAGTGTACATATATTTATTTTTGATAGATACACGAAAGTATGAACTATTTTTCTCTAGTAAAATCGCAGCTATTGCGGCGAAGTATATCAACTAGTAGAATCTAACTCAGATACTTGGCATGGCTTTTAACAAAGAAAGCCCAAAACGCATTAAGACGCAGGGATCCCACGCAAACGACAATATAATTTTCAGATATTTTCCATATACTGACCTTGCCTATCTTTCACTGACAATAAAACAGAATATGACTGTAGTTCCGAGACATCACCATCACTTATCCTTGCAATGTACTCAGCGGTATCATTCCTGGTCAGGTTTTTGATTACAAACCAAGCATGGCCTTGGCTTAGGTTACCAACGAAATCTACTCTACCAGTGTATGTCTTAGGCAATGAGGGAGAAATTGTTTTCCCATTTTTCGTATTCACATTGATAAACTGGGGATCAGGCATTTGTTTATTGCCTAACCCCCACACAGCTGAAAGAACTTCCCTGCCGTCTGTCGTGTTCCACTTAAAAATTACATCGTTACCCACGAGATCTTGGAGCCTTGTAGGTCCGACTATTGTGCAACGTACTGTAAAATTAAATTAATAGAAAACTTTATTATTAAGTTTGTACGTGCAAATCATTAAAAGTATGGGTATTGYAGTAAGATTCATTCGTAATTTTTTGCTATGGATTGTATGTTTTTTGTGGTTTTATAATGCAATGCAAAGTCTTTAGTAATATGCAAAACGTCTATATTCTTAAGACATTATCATTCTAAACTTCAGGTTGCCATATTGTCAGTTTACCCTTGTGACGTGTCATATTACAGGTTCCCTTTGTATTTCTTTAAATCTATGTTAGCAGACAAAAA